AGGCTGTTTACTAACCCAGAAAAGTTAGTAAAGACATCGTTAAAATAGTACAAGTGACTACAGTGACTCAACCTTAAGTTTATCAAGCGACGAGAATACTTTTTGTATGTACTTTTTTTATATACAATATATTTATAGTGTTCATCACACAGACTGCAGGACCAACGCTAACATTCAGTAACACCTCTGTGGAAAAAGTGTTCATTTTCTCTCATTTCCCACACTGATACTGACCAGGTTCAACCCTGTTTTATCTTCATTAGGAAACCAGTGTCTGTCAAATACATTAATGTAAATGTTCTTCTGCTGATCTAGCCTACTCTCTGCTTTCATTATTATAGTGAGTGGAGCTGAAGGATCTGATTCAAGGTCTGTAGGAAGTTCTGCTTATAGTTCATTCAGATCACGATCAGGAGCAGAACCAGTTTTCAGTTCGTCACGTTCCAGAGATTCATCTCACACAAGTTACGTGTCAGGGGCCATAGAACGATAGAAGCAAGCACCCTTTACCTTTTCTTTTTGCACAAGCAGCAATGTTGATACTCTAATTGATCGGAAACCATCTATTGTGATGGCTAAATTAGCAGCACTTTTCCCTTATTGTGTTATTGTTGTTTTTGCTGTTTTTAAATGTACATGTAAAAAACCTTTGGTAAAAGGTTTGCATTTATTGAAATAAAATAAGCAGGGGAAAAAACAGTATTTAGCTTGACCTCCTGAGTTTTGATGATCAACATTTTTAAAAGTTAAGACCTGTTTTTACTGCTCATTTGTTCTTCAAAGTTTTTAAAAGGTTCAGACCTTTTAAATATCACTCAAATGGGAAAAATGTGCATAAGAAAGATCAGAAGCAATAACAGTAATTTGTAATGGCATATAGATAAATTATTAATAATTATATATATTTACATAGTAGCAAAAAAATATGAATATCAAATAAAAAACGATTAATATATCAAATAAAATTGATGATTATACATGCTAATACAAATAATAATAATTTATATATTATTTTATATTTTATAATATATTTATCTAAATATAGAATTTTTTTATAACAAATGTATAATCATCGATTTAAGATTTATTTTATAATAATAATATTAATAATAATCATTTTTATTATGTGAATTATTTTATTATTAATGTATAATCTTCCACTTTGTTATAAAGATATATATATATATAGGCCTATATATATATATATTTATTCAATTGTATTATTACTTTGTAAATATATTAATTTGTATAGTAAATGTATATCATAAATTTCACTATATTGTATTTTATCACTTTTATTTTAAAATAATAATAAAAATATTTGAAATATTTATTTGTATAACAATTTGTATATCCATTTTACTTTATTATATATTACTATTTTTTGTTTTAATAGATGTTGTATGTTGGCTCACACAAAATTTAAATCAATGAATTGATTTTAAATGAAATTATAATTACAGTGTATATGTGTGTGTTTGCAGGCACCAGCAGTATTCTGGCAGGTGCAGCTCTTGCAGCAGTTTACAGATGTACGGGACGGAGCTTCGACACAAACTCTCTCATTCATGATGTTCTTTACCTGGAGCAGATCCTCACCACCGGTACGAGAGACGCCACTATTCTCATAATGGGATGCATCACTTCCTTTCTAAAGGAAGATTTCACTGAGCTGTGAAGCTCGATCAGACTGGAGTTTACATTTTTTATCAAACTGAATTTGAAAGCATATTTGCTGCTGTTTTAGGTGGTGGATGGCAGGATCAGGTTGGCGGGCTGTTTGGAGGAGTGAAGCTGGCTCGATCTGCAGCTCAGTTACCGCTGAGAGTGGAAGTAGAACAGCTCTCTCTTCCTCAACACTTCCAGTCTGTCCTGCAGCAGCATCTTCTTCTGGTTTACACTGGAAAGACGCGTTTAGCACGAAACCTTCTGCAGGTACGAGCGGCTGATGGTGATGGTCAGACTTCATGAACGCTGTGTAGTGTGTCACTGGATCACTGTGTGTGTGTGTGTGTGTGTGTGTGCAGGACGTGGTGCGGAGCTGGTATGCGCGTTTACCCTCCATCGTACAGAACGCAGAGCAGCTGGTGACCAATGCAGAGGAGTGTGCTGAAGCCTGCAGAGAGGGTGAGACACACACACACACACACACACCAGATTCAGATGGAGTCTTTGATCTCTTTCTCTCAGGATCTCTCCCACACACACACACACACACACACACCAGATTCAGATGGAGTCTTTGATCTGTTTCTCTCAGGATCTCTCCTCAGGTTGGGGGAGTGTATGGACACATACTGGCAGCAGAAGAAGCTGATGGCTCCAGGCTGTGAGCCGGCGGCCGTGAGATCCATGATGAACGCTCTTCAGCCGCTGAGTTTAGGACAGAGTCTGGCAGGAGCAGGAGGAGGAGGATTCCTGTTCTTACTCACCCGTGAACCTCAGCAGAAGAAACCAGTGACAGAGATTCTCACAAACATACAGGTGAGCCAGAGAAACTGGTTCAACCGCTACAGAATGAGAACATGTGAAGAGGAATGGTTGTTTTTAACCCTTTCTAAACTGATATATGTAGAAGCACTTCTCTCAGAATGATTCAATATAGATGTGCAATTTAAACTGGTTGCTGAAAGACCTGCGTGTTTTAGTGTCCTAGTAAAAACTGAAAAACATGAATGGTGAAAGCAAAATGTATTTTCTGAATAGTGTTGGTCCTGCTGTTGTTTTGACGGGGCATTGGTTCCTTCAGTGTTCATTCAGTGGAGCTGGATATGGACGGGATCTCAGTCATTCAGAAGAGCTCTGAACATCCTGAACAACAGCAGACGACTTACATCTGACTGCCTTATAACAATTAAACTGATATTATTTCTGTAAATATAACATTTATAAACATTTGTTTCATATAGATTCCCTCCATGTTTTAATATTTGTTCTTTTTTTTTAAATATGGAATGTATCAAAAACATTTAAAATACTAAATTACATAGGCATATGTTCTTTACTAAATGTAAAAGAAAATGTTATAATGCCATGTTGATGCTTGCATCTTTTACTTTTTTTTATTGTACTGTATATCTAAAGAAGCCTACTCATTAAGATTCAATCATTTAAGAACCCCGAGGTGAAAATCAAGTTATGTCTATGTGGTGTTTTAATATGCTTGATAAACCTTGAGCAAATGAATCAGTCAACACCATTGCTGAGTATTTTCTCCTTAAACCTGCAGTGAATCAAACACAGCCTCAAAAACGCGGTTTGAAACGCCCCTGTTTCTTACCATCACAAACATGTAACCAATCCCGTCAGCGTGTGGGGCTTTTCCTCACTGACTTTCTATGATGTTCAAAGCGTTCGGATGCTGAGTTTTAGAAGGCAGCTTTCTGACTGTGAGATGGCGAACGGGAACATGCTTTGTGTAACATTAGCAACACATTATTAGCTGTTTGATAATAAAGTCAAGGCAAAGGCTAATATCAATTACCATTATGTGTCTGATGTTGTAGAGAGCGATTTAAAACCCATTACTGGCACATCGATTTGTAGACGACACTCTATAATTAGTATTTTTACAACTTTTAAAGGTCATTTTGATTATCAAATACGAGTCTTAATAGATACAATTATTGACTGCAAGAAGACTAAATAATCTTCCAAATTGCAACTCTATATAAATTTACAGTTTATGCATTTGGCAGACGCTTATATTCAAAGCGACTTGCATTGCATTTCAAGGTGCACATTTACATTCTTATCAGTTCTTGCTTTGCCTGGGAATCGAACCCATGACCTTGACGTTGCAAGCACCAACGCTCCACTGTTTGAGCTACAGGAAAGCTGGACTTTTACAGTAATAATTAAAAAATAATAATAAGTATATGATATATATTCATTGTGGGATTAATAGTTGGCTACTTAATGTTTAGGTTTGCCAGGTGAAGTCACTTTTTGAAGTGTGTCTGGATTAAAAGATATTATTACTTTTTTAACATTTGTTAACATCTTATTGTAAAATAACTTCGAAGATCACCTTTGCACACTTCCGTACTCCTGTAGACCCGCCCATGCGCGTGACTGTTCTGAAGCACTAGTAAAACACTGAAAGATAAACACCACTGACTGCTGGTGCACGTAAACCTACATTTACTCCGGAACTCCGACTGAGACCGTGTGAAGTAAAATGGACTTAAGTAAGCATTTATTATTTTTTTAAACTAATCGTCTTTTCCTTGTTGATTCATAGTAAAAATGACTCTTAATCAAACTCGACGTCTTTGCTGTTTCTGTGAGACATTACTGCTGCTTTCACTTTCATATTGGTAGATTCAGCTAATATTGAAGAAAAAAAAAGTTTAATTAATGGGAAAAATAGCTCATACAAATTGTAAAATGATTGCATAGTAACATAAAAACCTTTACAACTTCTAAATAATAATAAACAAAAAAATATTATTGAACAAAAATATATTATGGGTTTCCTGGAAGAAAAAAAAGTTAAATTCAAGGCTTCGGTCACTTCTGACCGGGAAGAAGCCAAGGTCAACCAACCTTTTGAGTTTTAACCCACCCCTAAACAAAGAGGGCCAGAGGATTAAACATAACATTTCAGAGAACTTGTAATACCAAATTTTTTATTTACAATTCTTAATGTAATCAATCAAGGAAGTATGGTGATATCTAATTATATTTGAATTAAGTGTCATTTGAATTAATTTTGCCTTCATATTTTTAAAGGATATATAATCACTGAAAACATGTTATTTTTGCATCAAATTACAATTTAGCCCTGAGTTTTATGTAATCTGTGTTTTTGTTTTCTCCTAATTGAGAAAATTAAATGATTCTCATTTCTTCATCATTTAGCTATGGATGATGATTAACTTGAGTCCATTAATGTGGAATTTGTATTATTATGATTAGCATATTTTTAGTACAGCTTTCTTGTTAACTGTTCAGAAAGCACACACAGGATAAGTGTGTTTGTTCTCTATTTGTTTCAGGTGACGCTCTACATCTCTCAGAGCTGAGGATTGTGTTGATGGGATATAAAGCTGCTGGTAAGAGTTCATCAGGAAACACCATCCTGGGCAGAGAGGAGTTTGACTTGAAGAGATCTGCTCAGTGTGTGAGGAGACATGGAGAAGTAGCAGACAGACTCATCACTGTCATTGAAGCTCCAGGATGGTGGAAGAATCACACTGTAGAGATGAGTCCTGAGAGACTGAAACAGGAGATTGTGCTGAGTGTGTCTCTGTGTCCTCCAGGACCACACGCTGTACTACTGATCATACGTGTGGGTGATAGATTTAAAGAGACTGAGATAAAAGCATTGCAGGATCATCTGGATCTTCTCAGTGAGAGAGTCTGGAGTCACACTATAGTGCTGTTCACTTGTGGAGACTCTCTGTCAGACACATCTATAGAGCAACACATCGAGAGTGAAGGACAGGATCTCCAGCGGCTGGTGGACAAATGTGGGAACAGGTTTCATGTTCTCAACAATCTCAACAGGAGAGACGGCACTCAGATCAAGGAGCTGCTGGAGAAGATTGAGGAGACAGTGGCACTAAACAACGGCCGCCATTTTGAAATAGACAGAAAGATTTTACAGGAGGTGGAAGAGAGGAAAAGAGCACAGGAAGAGAGAGCAGAAGAACGAATGAAGAGGATGCAGAAACGGAGAGAAAACATCAGATCACAGATGAGTGAGTCCACATACTTTATAGTGCAGATATTCACACTGAGTATATTAAGTAAATCATGAAAATGTAACACTCACAGCAATAATAACATGAAACTTCTTGTCATTAACCGCTTGTTGAGGGATTCACGATATATGTGTTCAAAGCAGTTCACAGTGACGGCTCATAAAAGCTTTTACTAAAGGAGATAAGCACTTTTATTTCTTAAACAATCCTGTTCTTCATAGGGTTTGCTTTTGAAAACAGAAATCCAAAATAAAAACAATTCAAAAACAACAACAACAACAACAACAGCAAACAGCTTGTCTTGAATATAACCTTAAACATCAGCTTTACTTTACGCCTCATGTTTGTCGCTGTTCTGAAGCTCCAGGAAGTGAGTCCGTCAAACACACTGAAAGTACATGACAAGTAAAACTACTAGACTGCTGGTATAACTATATTTCATTTGAAGCTCCAACTTAGCCAAAAATATGTCTAGTAAAATGGACATCAGTAAAATTTTCCCTCGTGATAGAAGCTATTTTTATGAAACAAAAAATGTCAACCTGTTTACAGTTTCTGCCAGACTTTTACTGTTTTCATATTGGTCAATAAGATTTTGGATCTGTTTATGCGTCTTTAAGCTGGGTTTTTTTTTCCATAAAGTCTTTCATAAAAAGAATCAGTTTCAAATTGTTTTTAGTTTTCTTTCCATCTAGTAAATGAATGTAAATGTAACACATTTTTGTATTTGCTGGTGCTAATATCCACCAGTGTATTGATAACACTTTCCCAGCTGTGAACACACACACACACACACACGAGAGAGATTTATTCACTGGTTTAGAGGCCAGTTTAATTATTTTGAAACAATATACTTTCTGAAAACATTATTCTGAAGCTGTTTGTAATTTAGTCTTGCTTACTCTGTGTGTTCTGTGATCTGTTGTGTTTTGTGTTCAGATCATTGAAATTAAGCAATTTTCTTTTCTCCATAATTCATAATTATTGTCCATCAATAACTTTTGTGCAACTCTGTTTTAAGAGTTCCATTAATGTGAGATACACTTATGTGTAATTTTCAATCAATAATGTGTAGTTTGACACTCACACAGATACAGTAAACTTTATTTCAGTAACCCCTATTTCACTAAGAGAGATTACTTAAAGGAGTAGTTCACTTTAAAAAAAACTTTTGCTGATAATTTACTCACCCCCATGTCATCCAAGATGTCCATGTCTTTCTTTCTTCAGTCGAAAAGAAATTAAGGTTTTTGATGAAAACATTCCAGGATTTCTCTCCATATAATGCACTTTACTGGGTACCAAACGGTCCAAGGTCCAAAAGACAGTTTCAGTGCAAACTGTTCAAAGGGCTTTAAACGATTCCAGACAATGAATAAGGGTCTTATCAAGCGAAACGATCGGTCATTTAAAAAAAAAAAAAAAAAAAAGTTTAAGTTTTATAAGCTCACATGCTCGCCTCGCTCTGTTCTGTGTAACTCTCCTGTTCGAACTCGTTCATCAAAATGAACAAATCTTTTTTCGAGACATTTGATTCATTTAACGACCGAAATGAACGAATTGACTCGGAAAAAGATTTGTTCATTTTGATGAACGAGTTCGAACAGGAGAGTTACACAGAACAGAGCAAGGCGAGCATGTGAGCTTATAAAACTTAAACTTTTTTTTTTTTTTTTTAAATGACCGATCGTTTCGCTTGATAAGACCCTTATTCATCGTCTGGTGTCATTTAAAACCATTTGAACAGTTTGCAGTTTGCAATGAAACTGTCTTTTGGACCTTGGACCGTTTGGTACCCAGTAAAGTGCATTATATGGAGAAAAATCCTGGAATGTTTTCATCAAAAACCTTAATTTCTTTTCGACTGAAGAAAGAAAGACATGGACATCTTGAATGACATGGGGGTGAGTAAATTATCAGCAAAAGTTTTTTAAAAAGTGAACTACTCCTTTAAGAAGATTTAAGATGTCACTCGCTTTAAGAAGTGTGTTTGTTCTCTATTTGTTTCAGGTGACGCTCTACATCTCTCAGAGCTGAGGATTGTGTTGATGGGATATAAAGGAGCTGGTAAGAGTTCATCAAGAAACACCATCCTGGGCAGAGAGGAGTTTGACTTGAAGAGATCTGCTCAGTGTGTGAGGAGACATGGAGAAGTAGCAGACAGACACATCACTGTCATTGAAGCTCCAGGATGGTGGAAGAATTACACTGTAGAGATGAGTCCTGAGAGACTGAAACAGGAGATTGTGCTGAGTGTGTCTCTGTGTCCTCCAGGACCACACGCTGTACTACTGATCATACGTGTGGACACTAGATTTAAAGAGACTGAGAGAAAAGCATTGCAGGATCATATGGATCTTCTCAGTGAGAGAGTCTGGAGTCACACTATAGTGCTGTTCACTTATGGAGACTTTCTGTCAGACACATCTATAGAGCAACACATCGAGAGTGAAGGACAGGATCTCCAGCGGCTGCTGGACAAATGTGGGAACAGGTTTCATGTTCTCAACAATCTCAACAGGAGAGACGACACTCAGATCAAGGAGCTGCTGGAGAAGATTGAGGAGACAGTGGCACTAAACAACGGCCGCCATTTTGAAATGGATGGTAGAAAGGAAGCGGAAGAACGATTGGACAAATGGAGAGAAGACATGAGATTACAGACTAGTGAGTGAAATCATAAAATTGTATCAATATTATCTACACACAGACTCAGATGTGTTTCCTCCTCAATGGTCTACAGCTCTTTAGATGTAGTTTTCAATAGTTTATAGTGTTCATCACACAGACTGCAGGACCAACGCTAACATTCAATAACACCTCTAATGGAAACAGTCTCATTTTCTCTCATGTCCCACCCTGATACTGACCAGTAGGGATGGGCATTGAAAACCGGTTCCACTCGAAAACCGGTTCCACTCGAGAACCGGTTCTAAGTTTTACGATCCATCGATATTGTATGCCCTCGACGTTAAACGAGAACTCCGGTCAATTTTAACATTGAGCTCATTTTTTTGTACATTTGGAGTGCTGTCAGTACAGACAAAAACGACAAAATTATCGCGCGCGCGAACTCGACAATTGACTACTGTGGACTTCGAGCGAAAACAGGAAGTAAATACAGGTAGCCTATGTGAGCTGGCTGAATTAACATCATTTTTATTAATATCTTGCACGTCTACTGCAGTCAGATTGACCGTGGTCACTCTTAATAACACCACTCACATGGCTGTGCACTTGTAATGACAAATCAAGGATGTTAAGAGGCTAAAAGCAGGTTTAGAACTTGCCCCATTGAAGTCAACAGGGTGCGAATTTTAAAAAGAGGATAACACGGTGTAGGCAACACCGATTTTTGTCGTTTTTGTCTGTACTGACAGCACTCCAAATGTACAAAAAATGAGCTCAATGTTAAAATTGACCGGAGTTCTCCTTTAACGAGTCCTCTTATCGATGCTCCTGCTCTGAGTCAGCCTTAGTATGTAGGCTACAGACCGTGAACTTGTCCTTTATCAATCACCATAGCACGGCGTCCAAAGCGAATTTTTGTACCACCAAAGTCTTATTTGATCGGTGAGTAATGTAGATGAACTGCTGCGCTTGTGACAGGGCGCATGTTTAACCGAACGAGCAGAGAGAGAGCGCCCCGGTCGCGCGCGCGCACTCTCTCTCTTTGGAGCAAAGCGAAAGTAAGGGTTCACCGTCTCAAAACTAAGCGCTGTCTTGCTCTCTCTCCCTCGCACATATTAATCCAAATAAACGACACGATGGTAAGGTCGGGAGACTAAAGTTTCATGTGGAGCATTCGGAGATTTGTTTTTCCTGAATTAGGCTACCGCTGGGTGTGAATTGTGCTAAAATACGTTGCCTTTATCGGAAAAGCGTTCCGCACATTCGGCTGACATAAACCACACTTTAAATAAACGAAAAAAACTATCCAGTGATGAAACGTTTTCTGTGATGACACAAATCTTGTGGGATGTCCCAACCGCGGGATAATCACACAACGCGCACACGTCCGAAAATTACAAGTCCGATTCGCGAACTAATGACTCATTTGAACCGATTCGTTTTAATGAATGGTTAAATCAACTGATCTTTCCAACACTGAACTCACGGGACATTTTTAATCGGTGTATAACTAATCGGTAACACTTTACAATAAGGTTCCATTTATTACATAAATTACATAAGTACAGTTTGCTCAAGTGTAAGCTTTAAAACAAATAAAACCACTTGTTTTTCCCCCGAAAAAGCATATGACTAGCCTACTTTTTTCCACACAGTGCAGTCTGTGCTATCAGGAATCGATAAGAGAATCGTTAAAGAATCGGATCGATAAGCAGAACCGTTAGTGGCATTGATATTGATAAAATCTTATCAATTCCCCACCCTACTGACCAGGTTCAACCCTGTTTATCTTCATTAGGAAACCAGTGTCTGTCAAATGCATTACTGATCTATTCTCTGCTTTCATTATTATAGTGAGTGGAGCTGAAGGATCTGATTCATGGTCTCTGGGAAGTTCTGGTTATAGTTCATTCAGATCACGATCAGGAGCAGAACCAGTTTTCAGTTCGTCACGTTCCAGAGATTCATCTCACACAACTTACGAGCCAGGGGCCATAAAACGATATAGAAGCATGGAATGGACACCAAACAGTGAGTGTCTTTTGTTTTTGTTTTATTTGTTTTTTTTCCCACTTTTGTCTCCTGTTACTTTTTTTTAAAAATCATTACAGCAAGATGTCTCTTTTGTTGAGAAATATTTATTTTTAGCCTACATTATCCTAAATTTGTTACCACGTGTTTTCCCCATTTGGACCTTTTACCTTTTTCTGAATGTTTTGTGAATATTGTGACGGATAAATTTGCAGCAGTTTTCCATTATCATGTTCTTCTTGTTGTTTTTAAATTTACTTTTTAAAACAGTATTTAGCTTGACCTCCTGAGTTTGATGATCATCATTTTTAAAGGTTAAGACCTGTTTTATGCTCATTTGTTCTTCAAATTTAAATCTATATGGTCACTTTAAATAAGTGCAATATATGGTGATCAGTCTTGTAATAAAGATATTTCATTGATAAAACAGCAATAAAACTTTGAAATCCCATCTGATTAATGAAGAAATGTTATAATATTTTCAAGGGCACCTGATAATGATTACCAATAGGCTATATTATTTTTAGGAACATTGAAAGTGTTACATGTCAGAATTGTGTTGGTCTGTAACAGTTTTAAACCTTTTACTGATTTCGTTGTATTTCCCCAGTGAGTGGAGATGAGCGATCGGACACACGGTCTGTGGGAAGTTCTTCTTATGGTTCATTCAGATCAGGAGCAGACAGTGATTCAGTTTTAAGCTCACCACAGCTCAGGATTCGGGTCTTTGAGATCCATCCCGGAGTCTGTGGAGGGTTCAGGAACCAGACGAACACTTGGTTTGCCCAAGATCTCCAAACTTTTCCTAAGATTAAAGAAGCATGATAAGCATGAAGAAGATACTAAGACGACCTGAATGTGATTGAATGAATCAAAGATAAATTGTGTCCTTATAATGTGGACATTTATGACATTAGCATCATAATATTTACCTGTAAATATTAATAAAACTAAAATGAATGTGCAGTTGTTTTAACCTTAAAGGGGACATGAACTGATAAATCCAATTTTCCTTGAAGTTTTGACATATAATAGGTCATATTATCATATTATAAGAAAATCCTGAAAGTTTCAGAACTGAAAACTTCCTTGTTAGTCCAAAATCAGCTTTTATTGTTAGGCTACCAAGCCCAGTATACCATACAAAAGACACTATACAAGACCGTAATAATCATACACACAATGTCCTGGAGATAATCATGTTCATGCATAGCTGTTTTCCTATGGAAAGGAAAGAAATCCTTTTTTAAAAGAAAGTATGCTTTCCTAATTCATTCCATGGCCTGATCCAAAGTCAGTCCAGAGCAAAGCTCCGCATTCTTTCAGTCGTAAATATCTGACGATCTGTCGCTGTTGCCATGGTAACCAGAGACCCGTTCTGCCTTTTTGGGGTTTGCCACATACACACTGGTATATCATTTGTTGTCGGTTGAGGGGTTTTAAAGATTTGTTAAATATAAAAAACAATTGTGTCTGATTTGTCTGTCACTACAGGGCCAAGACTTCAAACTCACCAAAACTTGGGTCAGTTTGCAACATTCATAAAATGGCAAATCAGCACTGTACACTGTATAATATATGAAAGCTCTTTTTATAATATTCAATATATTTCAAATGACAATACTGATTAACAGTTTTTTACAACAAACTACTGCACATAAAATATTTAAGATAGTCCAAAGATCAAGAAAAAGGTTCCTATCCATTTTCAACCGTACAAAAAGCCTTATTAATATGCTTTACAGAAATATGGCATTCACAGAAATATGGCATTCAAACACTGTAAAGGTACAGACACATCTGAGATATAGAACAACTGAAGTCCTAAACATTACAAATCCCACTCCCCAAAACCCAATGCAATAAACTTGAAAATATAGTGAAATGTGTTTAAAATTCATCTCTTATTAAAGTGAAATCCTTTATAGTGATACAAGAAGTGTAAACAATCATCCCAGAAAATGTGACCAAATAAATACAATCCAAGGCTTTATTTCAAAATGGATTCTCCAGTCTCTGTCCCGTAGGATCCGTGATGACATCACTGGTGTGTTTTTACACTCGCGTCAGGAAGCTCAGATTGAGGCTGCTGGGGAGCTGGATGGTCTCGAGGGCCACAGATGAAGGGTTGAAGGGGAAAGTGACTGAGAAAATGATCTTAGCGTCCATCAGTAACTGAGAAGACTCCTTACGATCCTTTAATAAATTCTGTGGAGTGGGAGAAGAAGTGTTTAACCATGAATTTTTTTTTTTAAATCGAACAATATCTGCTTTAAAATACATTTAAAAACATTGAGAAATGACTCACCTGTACAGACTTTATGAATGATATAGACACTCTCTCCTCAAACTCATTCACTGGTGTGTACAAGCTGAGGATTTTCACAATCTGTCCCAGAGAAACACAGACACAGCAAATTTAGAACTAGACTCACGGTATCATTTGAAAGGCTCCATTCTCCTCACACACACACACACACACCTGTTGGGTGGTGAGAGCCGTGCACATGGTGCAGATGGCGTCTGCGTCGTCCTGGCTCTTCTTCTTGATCTGCAGAAGCTGAGCCGCCTGAATCAGAGGCTCCAGAGACTCACGAGCTCCACTGCCCTGAAGATCTTTATCCAGCAGCCACTCCTCCAGCTGACACACATTATACCTGTGTGAGGGGAAAAATAATACATAAAAAAAAAAAAGTAAATATTTTACATTTTAAATACATATATAAATAAACCAGAGAAATTCTGTTTTGCATTTTTCAAATTGTATATAAAATATTTTTTTTGTACAATAAAACTACAATAGACAATAAAATTATTATAAACAAATGCAATATTAATAGAGGTTTCTTAAGAAAATTCCTACTTATTTTACTTCACATTAGAAATCTTTAAATCATATCACTAAGAATAATTGATAATAAAAAATTTACTTCTTTTTTTGAAGAAATATAGAGATAGTTTATGTACCATGATTAATATCTGTTTGCCGTTTCTTTTTTTCCTTCTTTGTTTAGCTCTTTCCATTTTTGTGCTATGCTTGTGCACAAATTTTGGAAATTTTTAATTCTAAATATTAATTGAGTTAAGCTAACTTAATTTTGAACTATTTAAATTGAGTTGGGCCAACTCAATTTTGGAAAATTTAAATTCTAAATATTAATTTTTGAGTTGGATCAAATTCATTTTGAACCATTTAAATTGAGTTGGGCCAACTCAATTTTGGAAAATTTAAATTCTAAATATTAATTATTGAGTTAAGCCAACTTAATTTTGAACTATTCAAATTGAGTTGGGCCAACTCAATTTTAGAAAATTTAAATTCTAAATATTAATTGAGTTGGATCAACTTAAATTGAGTTGGGCCAACTCAATTAATATTTAGAATTTAAATTGTTCAAAATTAAGTTGATCCAACTTAATTTTTGCCATATAGGCCTATATTTCATGTATCTCGTGCTGCTGCGACTTGCAAGCGACCACATTAATGTGAGCCACAGTAGGCCAACATATGACATATTATTTCAGCATGATGCATTTCCCATTGATAAATACAGTGCAAATGGTTTCCGTCTCTTTGGATAAAAGGGAAGTGGAAATAAAAATGAACTGAACTGTACCATGATAATATGTCCGTAACATTTACCACTCTCGTCTTTTATTTACATCAAAAGGTGTGTGTGACATGTACAGTTTAGGCCTAAATAATTTTTAAAATTGAATAGAAATAAAGTTTATATTTATAAATGAAAGCATGTGTAGCCTACTCAGTTCACATGAAAAGAAAGAGACAGAAAAGAGAGAAGCTAGAATCAGTGACCGTAAGTATTTTAAAATTTACGAAATTGTATTTTACAAAATTAGCAGGGTTTGGGATTAATTAAAATCATGTCAGTTGAAGAGCACGGCATACCTTTAAAATGTTATTAGTTTTTATTATAAAACTAATACAATTTTATTACATACTGAATTGGTCGATGTTTCTCTGAGTTCTGTTTATTATGTTGGCTTGAGAAAGCCAACATATAGGCCTATATATAACCGCACTCCTGACAAAAAGAAAAGCTCGTACTGAAGGCAGAGCGGTTTGACCAATCAGATGAAAAGGGCGTTTCAGCGCCGCCAAAGTGTGCAAATTAAATATCGAACCCATAAACCGATTTGTAAACCACAAACGAAAAATGGAGCCAAAATCCAATTTTTCGTTTTTTAAACGAAACAAAAAAATTAATAAACGAGCTGGTTTTCATTTCTCCTTATTCGATTCCAAACAAGAAATCAAATGACCAAAAGATACACGGACCGAACACAAATTCGGATACAATGGCAAACCAAATTAATATAAAAAATGAAAACCAGGTAGGTACTTAAAGGAGCTGTATGTAAGATTGTGGCCAAAACTAGTACTGCAATCACTTTCAAATTGCTGTAGAGTGGTGTATCCCCTCCCCCTCCTCCCTGACTCGAGGTTGCCAGATCGGCTGCAGGATCCAGCAGGAACTTGACGAGCTGCAGCTGTGGTAACTAGAGCAGAGCTGGCAACCCGGATGCCGCAACACTACTGACTTCGTGATTGGTAGATAGGTGGAGGGTGGAGCATCAGACCAAAACACAACATGACAACATCAACATCAGTTGAGGGCTGCAACTGCACTTTTTAAATGACAATATCCTGGCCAGACTACTGTTGTCAGTGATATAAGTATTTGAAATGTACATGATTTCTTAATGTCTAGTGACATTTCAGGGCCATTTTATGATTAATTGAAATAAATTTCTTACATACAGCTCCTTTAATTTCAACATAACGTTGCTTTTTTAAAATAAAATAACAGCCAATGTAGGATAAAACTATATGACTGTGATGTTGTTTCTGCGACAGCTCTAACTCTCTACACTTGAGTGAGAGTTTTTAGACACAGCAACGACACTAGGGCTATTAAGAGTTGAGGAATCGCCTCCCCATCACCAGTCAGTACCTGATCTGCAGGCCTTTACTCCAGGAGCACATGTCCTTGCGTAGCAGCAAGTTGTTTAGTGTGACGCAGCAGATGAGGTAGAACTGCTGTTTGATGACCTGTCGGACCAGCTCGGTGTCGTTGCCATGCTGGAGCAGGGTGTAATAGAAAACATCCAGCTGTTTCAAAATGGACTCCAGCGAGTGACAGCTGTCCTCTGGGAAACTGGACGTGCGCTTCCTCATTCCTGTGGGCTTCACACCCATCACTCCCTGAATGGTCTCCTGCTCCAACATGGCTGGTGCTGGGATGAGGACAAGAGGGAATGATCAAGAAGAGGAAGTATAATAAATATTGAAATCTTTATGATCAGAGCATGTAGAGTTACCAATCATGGGGTGAATAATGTTTTCTATGACCCTGATGAGCTGCTGGTAGATCTGGATGGCTAGATCGCTCAGAACCTGGCAATACTCAGACAGGTCAAAGTTTGACAGACAGTGCTCGTTTTGTCGAGGGGTGTTGTGCTTTGTGTAGCCCTAAAAAAATGTCAGGAAGACATAAAATATTAGGTCAGCATTCATATAACAGTGAATAATTAAATATATTAAAAAGAGAAAAAAAAAAATCCACATGTATGTGAACGTACGGTTCCAAACTTTTACTCCTAATATTTGCAGCTAGCTTCAACAGAAAGCTAAATGTTTTTACAAAACTTTTAGCTTTATCGATTTATATATTGTTTGCATTAGAAGCTGTTTCCTAAAAGTGAAAAACTAAAGTACACTGTACCAAACACAGAAATTGACAGCTATAGTTAATTCCAATAGAGTGTGATATTAGCACGTTGCTACGCTAATAACTCTATTCTGAGAAGTCTAATATTTGTGTGTTTTTTGTGCTTTATTAGAGTTAAAGACAGAACTAGAGTCCCAGCTAAAATTATGGCAAGGTTCTCTCAAAGATTAACAAACATTCTTTCAGTAACATTAACTGAACATGTTCAAAG